TTAAATAAAAATAATAAAATTAATATTCTTATTTACACTTTTTCCCTGAAAAGGACAACTTCAGCACTACCGCAATAAAATCATATGGCAAAACAAAACTAGCAAGAAATTGAGCCAAAAACAAATATAATTTGTACCCTAGTAAAAAATGGGACAAATCATTTTTATAGCAATATATCATTGCAAAACAAATCATGACTATATATATATATATATATATATCCTCCAAAAATCATATCCACACCTATGTGGAGATTCTGCTAAATTGGGGGAATTCCCCTTGGCCTAACTTTTACTAATGGAGACAATGAATATGCAAATGTGTCATTACTTTATGAGGCAAAGTTGCCGAAGATGATGACTTCAGTTTTCAGCCAACCAAAAAAGGTAAGATGACTCAGATTTGAATACATTCAAATTCAGACCTTATCCTATTTCCTAGTAGTATGGGAAAGTTACTGAATTTAGACCATAAGGATATGATCATGACATATTCCTCAATATCAAGCAATAAAAGAACACCTATTTTCCCATTAAAAACTAAAATAAATAAATAAATAAAATTTCAAGATTATCCTTTGCTTGCATAACACAAAAAAATTACCATATCTAGGCAGTGGCGTGTATTTATATTCTCCTTATGGGAAGACCAAATGGAGTAAGAAGCACAGAATTAAAGATCTTTAGGAGTTTCTTTGATTCATTGTTCTTAGAAATGAAAATAGGTGAAGAAGAAAGGCAGATTTTTCAGGGTATGAATTTGAAGAAAGCAGAATCTGAATCCGAAGGCGCTCGGATGAACAAATGTGATGTATTCATGAAGAATGGTGACTCAGTGATCTCCACTGGATCCTTTCCGGAAGATTCAGAAAACTCCATTTCTTCATTGTCTTCATCGGACATGGTTGAGGATGAATCCTCTGCAACATGTTCTTCTTCATCATCATCCTCAAATGGGCCTCTGTATGAATTATCAGAGCTCATGAATCAACTCCCCATCAAGTAAGTTAATTAACTGATGTTATATTTTTCTCAAGAAAACTAATTTCATTAATTTTTCCCATTTATTCTGATGAATCAATTCTATATTCAGGAGGGGTCTCTCCAAGTTTTATCAAGGAAAGTCTCAGTCTTTTACGTCGCTGGCGAGTGTGAAGAGCGTAGAAGATCTTGCAAAGAAAGGAATTAATCCTTATAACTGCAGAATGAAAATAAAGTCAACCAAGAGTTTTGGGTGGGGGTTGGAGGGTCAGAATGGTCTTAGGGCTAAGGGTACCATATCAAAGAAGGGCTTCAGTTCCAGAGGTTGTTTCTCGTCCTCTTTAGGTAAGATATAAAAGAGTTCGCTGAATGCAAGGTTGCAAACCTCTTCCATTTCCATTATGATTTTTTATTACAGATTTTGCAGGGTTTATTGTTCATCAGGATAACCCACCTCCCCTCCTCTTAGTTATTTTGAAGTAATAGGATTTGATTTTTCCAAGAAAGAAAAATTATTTGCCCTGTGTCTTGGTCTTATTGTTAATGTCACTTTTCCAAATGGGCATTTAACAAACTATTAATGCCATCTTTATACAATGAGTTAAAATTCATTTATAGAATCTACTTATACATAATTGTTGATTTTTCAGTTCTACAATTGAAAATAATGGTGCTGTGTTAACTAATTTAAAAATTAACACATGATAATCTATGTGAAACTTACTCGTGGTGGGGGTGGATTTTAATTCGTGTGTCATTATTAAAATTGTAGAGGCAAGAGACAACAAATTACTATAAATTAAGGTTAAGATAAGGGAATTAAATAAATTTTATAATATGAAAGAATTAACTTCTCATTATATCAAAAAATTATTAATACACCATAAAGTTACCCGTTAAGAGTGTTAACAACGAAAAATAAGGGATAACTATATAAATATCTTTTAGTTTGATATACTTTATATACTCATTAATAAATTATTATTATTTTTCAAATTTAAAATTAAAGTAAAAAAACTTAAAGAAGTAGTCTTGTATATAATGTATAGAGTAATCATTTGAATTAGTTGTAATTATATTATATTTTAATAACTGAACTAGTTAAGTGTCAATATATGTTGAATTGGAAGATATTTGAATCATTTTCCAAAAATAAGATAGGGATTGGAAGCCTAGGACCATGACGCCATACATGAAGATGAAAACTCTATGGTAGAAGGTTTGAAGTTAATTAATTCTGAGTAGGGCAAAGAGCAGGAAAAAAAATTGTTGTAGTAGCATTTTTAGCTTTCTTTTTCCAAAAAGCATAAATTTGATATATAGGTAGTTCACTCCTTGCACTATTTGCTAAAATTATGAGAATTTTTCGGATAGATAGTAGAGGTATTCGCAGAAAGCATTTGGCAATAATTAAATGAGTACAGTGTTAATTTTGTAGAGGTAAAACAGGTTCAATTGGATGGAAAAGTCTTTTTAATTTGATAAATAATTTTTTTTTCTTTTCTAATCTTGATTGTACAATAACAGACAACAATCTCTTATCTCTTATTCTTTAGCCCTTATCCCTTAACCTTTAGCCTTTATCCTTTATTCCTTATCTCTTATCTTTTATCCATTATCCCTTATCCCTAATCCCTTATCCCTAATCCCTTATCTCATCCCACCCTAATCCTTTATTTCATACCACCCACATGTTATATGACTCAAACTCAGGACATCTTATTTTTAGTGAAAGAAGATAATTACTAAATTATTTAAGTTATTGGCATAAGTAATTTTTTATAATCTAATATAATTAAATTATAAAACATTTTTTTAATGAAATTCATGCAGCCCTCAATAACATGAAATTAAATACTCCATCAAATTCATTTGTCATTACCCATTGAGCTTATCAAACTGAAATAAGCAGGGGTTTACTTGGTCGATTATTATTTGTCAACAAGTTGAGGCTAATGGAGCCCCGATCGAGAAAACGCTTTCTCATCACGTGTCTAGTATTACTATTATTTTTTTTATGTACTAGAATAAGTAAAATAAGTGATTTAAGGTTGTGAAGGAAGGAGATAAATTAAGAAAGAGAGCTCAAATTTAAACTCTTGTTCTAAGAGTGTAAAAGTCTACTCTTCAGCATTGAAGTTTGAAGATGCTGTTAAATAATTGTGCAGAAAAAGTTTGCAACAGAGGTTTTTTGTTCTAAGAGCTCAAATTTAAACTCTTGTTCTAAGAGTGTAAAAGTCTACTATTAAGCATTGAAGTTTGAAGATGCTGTTAAATAATTGTGCAGAAAAAGTTTGCAATAGAGGTTTTTTGTTCTAAGACTAGCCAGTGGAGGTTTCTTCTTCTTCTTCTTCTTTTTTTTTTTTTAATTCCAATTAATGAGTATTTATGAGGTTGGTGAAGCCATCAGCTAGCCATGGTTCCCAATCTTTTTTGTCACCCCCACTTATCTTACCCTTCTGACTTCTGAGGACCGTTCCCTACTCTCCAAAGACGAGTCCATAGCAGAGATCATCTACGTCCTGCTAAAAGAGCAAAAATCAATTAATTGTATTTCAATCTTGGACTATCCAAAGAATTTTTGTATGAATTCGATCAAGGCCTGAAAAGCAACTGATATCATAAAAAAAGAAGTTGGAATTTAATCCAATTCTGCACAGAAAAAATGGTAGTAAAATTTGATGTCAAAGCTTAGCCTACAAAATAATGATCTCTCTTGTCTTGGTTGGTCGTTTGAGCTTTCGCTATCTTCCCTGGTTGTTACAAAATCCGAAACCACATGTCATTGATAATGAAAAACTATAAAAAAATCAGTACCAATCATCAATTTCCTGAGCTTTGTGATCATTAACTGATTATATTTTGTAACACAATTCAATATCTAAAATATTTTTCTGTTAACATTCCGTGCATTGAATTTATTTTAGTTTAAATTTGTATGTGCAAAAATTATGAAATTCTACATTTCTTTCTTTAATTTTCTTTCGTATTTTAATTAGTTTTGAGACATTGATATAGGTATCTTTTAATTTAATATATTTTATAATATATTTATTAAAAAATTATTTTTTTTTTAAATTTAAATTTAAAAATCAAAAAAATTAATGTTACAAATTTTAATAGACGAATTAGTGAGTATAAACAATTATGTTGAATTAGAGATTATATCAATAATTTTCTTTAATTGATAAAGCATCAGCCTTACCAACAAAATTCTCCTCAAGATTATACTGAACTCGGAGTTGAGACTTGAGATGATTATATACTGTTTTGCATTCTTAACTGAGTCAACTCCGACATCTGACGTAGTTGACTAAGTATTTTCTAAATATACCAGACGTATCCGTATCTGAAAAATTCATGCTAATATAATGTTATGTACATGTATGTATGGAATGTCAACCTTCCTTTTATGTTTTTCCTCCATTTACAAAGTTTCTGCTTAGGGATAATTAAGCTATTTGAAGGTTACAAAGGCCGCTACATGTATACATAAAATACTTTTTCTTTTAATATATTGTAATTATTTATAAGTTAATTGGAGATGGGGGAAAAAGTTTCGTGAGACTTGAACGTACAACTCAGAGGAGGGAAGTAGTCCTAACCTAAGATTCAATGGCACTAGATCAGAATGATTATTCAAAATACTTAGCATTTAGGCAGGTGTTAGTTGTAACATTTTTATCACGGCATTTCAGACTTGGGCTAATTAGAAACTAATTTCAAATGAATTAAGGAAAATTAGGACGCGTGAGTAATTAAAATGTCAAAAATAATAATAATAAATTAAAATATAATGAATAAATCAATACACAAAAAAATTCATTAAAAATTTTTGCATAATTTCACAAAGAGTCATGGTATTTATAATATTAGAATATCTTTATTTTATTTTTCTCAATTTGAAAGAAATTAAGAAAAATTAAAATATCTTAATAATCAAAATCGATGAATAATAAAAAATAAATAAAAATATCATTAATGAATCAATACATAAAAAAAAAAAAACCATTATTAAAGTTATTTGAATAATTTTACAATAGCATGTGATAACTATATCATTTTCATATGCCATGCATCCCACCCTCACCATGAACAGAATATGAACTGCAATGAAAATATGCAACCGAATGGGACATATCTTTTTGAATTATTTGGTCAAAAGATTAACTATGTTATCATTTTAACAGAAACAACAAACAAGAAGGTTTATTTAATTCTCCAACATTCTAGTACAGATTGCCTGATATAACATTCATATTTCTGCGAATCCTCCAACTCATAATTAATTAAACTGATAAAACATCCCTTTCACCGGCCGGGTTTCATTATAATATTCATCCTCTTCCTCTAATGTCTTCTCTGTTCCCTCCCCCTCATGGGTATTTAAGATCCGTCAGACTTCCTTCAGAGACAGCACCCACAGAGTCACATCCAGTTTCCAATTCCTCATCACATCAGAAAGCAAAAACAACATTTAAATCATGTTTCAAACATCTGTTCTGTCTTTCCTCCTTTGCATCCTCCTTCGTTTCACCTCCCAGCAATGTATGTTCACCTCTGCCAGCGGTAGTAGTTGGGAACTGTTACAGGAAAACGTCGGCATAGCTGCAATGCAGATGGAGTTGCTTAACAACGACCGTGTCATTATGTTCGATAGAACTGATTCTGGGCGTCTAATCTCTCTCTACCGAATGGCAATTGTCGGAGTGACCCAAATGACAAGACGTTGAAGGTGGATTGTACAGCTCATTCAATTGCGTACGACATTACATCCAACACACTCCGTGCACCCACAGTGCAAACCGACGTTTGGTGTTCTTCGGGCGCTGTGACGGCGGATGGCCGTCTCATTCAAACAGGAGGATTTAACGATGGTGAGAGGAGAATTAGGATTTTCACCCCTGCAACAACAACTGTGACTAGGTGGAAGTGCCAAATGAATTAGCTGCACCAAGATGGTACGCCTCCGATCATATCTTGCCTGATGGTAGAATGATTATTATGGACAGCCGTAAACAATTTAATTATGAGTTCTATCCTAAGAATACTGCTCCTGGTCTATTCAGTTTGTCATTCTTGTCGGAAACAAATGACCGTGGGGTGGAGGACAATCTTTACCCTTTTGTTAATCTCAAGGTGAACGGAGATTTATTCATCTTCGCAAATAATTGAGCAATTCTGCTTGATTATGTGAATAACATATATAGTGGTGAAAACGTACCCGATAATACCAGGTGCTGAAGCTCGTAGCTACCCTAGCACTGGCTCATCAGTGTGACTTCCTTTGAAGAACTTACAAGCTCCAAATATCCAAGCTGAAGTGTTGATATGCGGCCGAGGTGCTAATGGATCTTACACAGAGTCATTGAAGAAAAAGCTCTTGCCCGATTTGGATACTTGCGCTCGAATCAATATAACTGATCCAAATCCAGAATGGGTCATGGAGACAAAACCGCTACGTAGAGTCCTGGGTGACATGATATTACTACCGGATAGCACAGTTCTGATCATCAATAGTGCTGCCTCAGGTTCTGCTGGGTGGGAACAGGGTAGGGATCCTGTATTGAGTCCAGTCATCTACCGACCTAATAATCCAATTGGGTCACGTTTTGAAGTACAAAGCCCAACTACCATCCCTAGAATGTACCATTCCACTGCAGGGCTAGTTCATGATGGGAGGGTGTTCGTTGCAGGAAGCAACCCTCATGCTTATTACAACTTCACAGGAGTACTTTTCCCAACAGAACTACGCTTAGAAGCATTCCCTCCAGACCATCTCAACGCCCAATTTGATAATATCGTCCGATTATCGTTGCGCCAGTGAATCAAAGGATTCTGTATTATGGTCAAAGCCAAAAGGCACGTTTCAGTTGTACAGGGCCAGTGATCCAGAACCAGGTTGAGGTGGTATTGGTGGCGCCACCATTTGTGACACATTCGTTCTCTTCTCCCAGAACCAAAGGCTACTTGTGCTTGGAAACAACAAGATGACTGTATTAATAACTTTTACGACGTGGAGGTGACCATACCACCATCACGTATTCTCGCGCCCTCTGGATTTTA